ATGAACAATCATACAGTGTAAACTCCGATATATAAAATTGAAAAGGAAGGTTAGACGATGTTTACCACACAGAAAGTGCCAAATAGGCCTTTAGGACACTTCTTCCCTGTCACTGTACCTTCTTCCCCGTCAAGGCCTTCATTATCACCCAATCCTCCACTGTCATATTGTAAAATTAGCAACTTAATGACGTAATAAATAAGCATTACAATGGAAAGAAGGCAAATTTATCAATATGCACCTCTTCAACAAAACCCACCATCTACCTTAGCCTTTCATATGTTGTGGCATAATAATTCAAGCAATCACATTTGATAGTATACTAAGGATACTGACAATATGAAATACCTAATGTCAATGGTTCCATTTAAAGTAGCAAGAGGCTCATAATCAATGCCCTCATTTATCTTGGACCAGTGAAAATGAACTCTGCCACCGCCCCCACCACCTCCGCCGATGAGGCCACCAGAGCCTCCAACAACAGATAAAGATGAATTACCCATTAGCGCCAGTGCATGAAGAAAAAGGAGAATAGTACCACCAGAACCTCCACCAAGTCCACAAATAAGAGAGTCATTTATGTTTCTCGTCGCTTTATTACAGCTTTGGCCATCAGCTTCCACAGATCCAAAAACATCTAGAGCTAAAAGTGGCCACGGACTGGAACCTAAAACTGGAATACATGAAAATTGAATGCAACTAAGCTAGTGAGTATGTCATAAGGTTATTATTATTATATTATTGTTAATTTATTATTATTATTATCATCATCATCATCATTATGTGTAAATCATACCAACTAAATCTGCAGTAACGAATCTAAGAAGGGGCCTAATGGGCATGGCAACCGTTAGTTGATTTCAGTATACTCCCTACATTTCTTTATACTCCCTCCGTCCCGAATTAATCGCAACAGTTTGACTTCATAGAGTTTAAGTTGTTGAAAAGTAGAAAGTGAGCAGTTGAAATTTGATTAGAGAAAAGAGAAAGATTGTTGACCACATATTATTTACTTTATTTGGAAAATAAAGAAGTGAGAGAATTATTCTGGGACGAACTAAAAGGAAAGTGAGACGACTAATTTGGGACAGAGGGAGTTATATATATATATATATATATATATATATATATATATATATATACACACACACACACATATATATGCATCTAGGTTGGTCAATTTTCCTCGTTCATTTTTATCTATGTATGACATCTATGTACATAAAATATTCAATAAATTATTTACCCTTATTCAGTGTATCTTTTTTCCCAATAGAAACATAAACAGGAGGGTGGCCTCTAATGAAAGATTTTTAGGTTAAGTGTTAGATTCTTTTTATCAATTTCTCACTCATATACATTTTTATTAACCTATGTGATTTGGTCAACCTACCAATTCATAGGAAAGGATGTAGTATTTCACGTGTAATAAACAAGAGTAATAATTATACACAAGAATCTTTTTAAATTCAATTTATAGATTCTTGATTGCACACCCATCCTAATTTTAGTAATCCCTTCATTCCAAATTATTTGCCGTTTTAGAAAGGTCTATAACACATATTAAGGAACCAAACAAAGTGGCCTTTACTATCCTTGTTTGCGTTTAACATTACGTATTTTTTTATTGTTGGGTATGTTGGCACAAAATCAATGAATGTAGAGAAGTTAATAGGGGCAAAGTTGGAAGATTAGAAAGAGATATGCATTGAATTACTAAAATGGCAATTATTTTGGGACAGCTGATTTTTTCTAAAATGACATTTAATTTGGGATGGAGGGCGTATATTTTAGTTATTACCGAAGTGAATCGTGCCCGCTTGAAATTGATTTATGGATATGCAACATATATCTTGTAATAACCTTCTCAATTTTACCAATAATACTTTTTGAAAAATACGGGGTAGTAATTTTCTCACCAATTATACCCCCACCAGCAACTGGTTCATAGGATTGGACAGGACTCTTAGTTCCACTGCCCAATTCACAGGGGAAATCAGCACTGCCATATTTCTGCCCACCTTCACTCATATTCCCACTGCAGAATCCAGAACCACCTCTTCCTCCATGACCAGCACCAGCACCTGCTCCATTTGAGTAGTTACCAATGCCATTGCTGCAGCCTGAAAATGCAACACAACACAAAATTTAATTCACAACATTTTTGTATATGTGCTAGCAAGGAGAAGCTACATGACTCTAAATTCAAACACTAAGAAGCAGAAAAGACACAAAATCAAACAGATAAAAGGTCTAAAATGACATGTAAGTCTAGAAGGTAAGGTAATGACCTAGTGCTGAGGCAGTTATTATGCCACCAGTATCCACAATGACACTTCTTGCTCTGTGAATGTGAATGATGCTACCCTTGACAATGCCATTTATAAGAATGTCCTCAACACGACAAATCTACCACAAGTTGACCAGAACATGTTATTATAGTTAATTCAAAATCAATACCATGTGTTTACTAGTACTGTTAGCTTTTTAATTTGCCCTATGAACAAAGAATATGACATAAGCACCCACGATATTTCATTCAGTATTGAAAAAGTACGCACTCATCTTACTTGCAAAGAAAACGAAAGTGTATAGTTAGCATGGCAATCTTCTGGTGGAGCTATCAAATCCACAGGGCAGGTTGACTTATCACAGAGAGATTCAGTGACCCTGTTTGGAAGGGTAGGGTTAAGAGTTATGCACAAAAAGATAGTTAAAAGAGTTCAATACTAAGAAGTATAGAAAAGAAAAACAGAGTTTCATACTTGCTTTTACTGTTATAATCATCCAGTGGAGCTTGAAGTAAAGACTCTGGGCCAACCTAACAACGCCAACATTGTTTGATGAGATTGGAAACAAGTGACTAGCAAAAACTTGAAATAATTGGAGATAAACCTATAAACATATAGTGGGATGAAAAAATGCATATTATTTGATAAAATATACTTTATAACGTGTATACTTATGCACTTCCATCTAGCACAATTTATAGGTTCTAAAGGTTAACCACACTTTTCTAGAGGCGTAGTCATCAATTCTCAAAGCGTGTACATGGGCTGGTTAAAGTGAGGAGATGATATTATGCAGCCGATTTAAGTAATTGTATGAACACTGCAAACTTCCCCATTTAGTGATTTGCTTCCATGTTAACTAATACTCTCTCCTGTACTCCTACTATACTCATGTTTACTATTTAGTAGTCCAACAACTTCTGTCTTTTCCTAATTCCATCAACATTATCTCATAACTTTTGTTCACATCCAATATAACTTCTGATACTTTATACTCCATATAAAAAAAAGAACGTTAGACAAAGTTGCTAAGTTTATACATTTTATCCACTAATACAAAATTAAATACGGAGTAATACACATTGTCAAGAAACCAACTTAACCAGAAGCTTAAGCTTGTGGTTGTAGACCCTTGAAAGGTTTTATATTTTAAGTTCTAACACAGAGAATTGAGTTCTAAATGGTTTGAGTCAACCCTCATTAACTAACCCGGTAACCCAAGCACATAAAATAGGAGAGAGGAAGCACAAGCACTAAATAGTGACTTGGATGTTCCTTTTTCGTACATTTTATTTATGTGACACATGTGCAAATGTTTCAAACAGACCCATTCTTAGAAAGAGTCTGTGCAGGTGTGTGTGTGTGTGCACTTGCAAAGCTTTCATTTTTCTTTTTTATCTATGGAGACTCACAAATCCCATATCCAAGAATACGTAATAGCCAACAGCTCTAGAATCAATACAAAGGTCCATATTAATAAAATTGTATGTTTTAAACCTAATATTTCCTAGGATTTCTAAAATCCTAGAATTAATCCTTAAACCAAAATAGCAACTCCGAGTAACATTCGATTCAATATATTTATATTTAATGGAAAGAGGGGAACAAGAAGACTGCAAAAATTCAGTATTACGGTTATATTATAGAATAGTGACAAGGAAAGTCGTTGGCTTTTGATTGCATCACCCTGACCAGTCAATTCCAGGTACCCTTGACCATATAAAGCCAAATTTGCATTTGAACTGATAACAGAGCTTCCCTGAAAAAATAATCAATCCAAGCCTCAATCTCATTTTCTAGGTTACTGTTAATCTGTTCAGAGACATTTTAGCTTGCTACCTTTAGAACAACAAGATTCCTCACTTCAAGGACTGAGGTAGTGATAACAGACTTTTCTCCACCATCAACTTGGATTTGTGACTGCAGCATGAGTAACATCTTGACAGCAACTCTAAGTGCACCATAAACCTTAATATAAAAGAGAAAATCAATTGCACTTTATTCCCACGAACATGTAAAAGATTAAAATGTTAATACATGCTACTGAGCAGAAAAGGAATGGAAAATGCACATGTTATTTTCTAAACCAGGTACTCCCAGGCTAGTGGATATAGTAAGTTCACAATTAACCCAGGTACTCCCAGGCTAGTGGATATAGTAGAGAGGTTGTTTCCAAGAGAAAACTGGCTCAAAAACAAAAGGAACACTAACAAGCAAAGAAAGGAAAAAGGAATGACAAAGCAAAGTTGCACGAAAGCAAGCATACACGTGAAAGCATCAAACTTAGTCATAACTCATATGACCTCATGTCTAATAACCTCTTTCCAACTCTTCGTAGGTCGATATCTACCCATCTTAACGTCTCCTACCTTAAGCCTCTTGCAGACTTGCACCTCCTCACCAGAACATTCGTACTTCCCCTAAGTACGTGCCCAAGCCATCTCAAACTAATTTCGTGTAGTTTATCCTCCACAAAGACCAATCCCACCTTCTTCCAAATAGCTTTGCTCAAGACATTATCCATCCTCATAAGACCACACACCCATCTCCGCATCCTCATCTCTGCCGCTCGGAGCTTCGGAACGTGAGTTTTCTTCACCACCCAACACTCAGATTTGTGTAAAAAAATATCAAAAGGTATCATGGATATTTTTCCGTGCCTTTAACATATCATCGCTTCCCTTTAACATGTAATCCTTCTGATATTGAACAGCATGGCTTTTTCAAAATCCACATACTGACCCTCTCATGCTACTATTCCTCACATCATAAAACTTGGGAAAAATTACTCACATAGTCACATATTGATGGACTATGTAAAAATGCTGGTAAATAATGAATTAATAGCCACCGAGACAGCTTTCTGTTCTCAAGTGGACCACTAGAGAGCCGTTTTATCTCTACAATTTGAAGGTAATGCCTGGTCACAACCATTACAAAATTGTGAATAATGCCAGCTCACTTGGCTTGTCAAATGTGTACTTATTAAAATCTACTATTTGTGCATGATTTACATGCATCAATTGGTTGATCTACAAATAACTTAATTAAATCTTGTACGTGCAAGCTGAACTTGCAACATTTGTTAGATACATACTTCGTATTAAATACTCCCTCCATTCCATATCTTCGGTCCGTTTTGTTTTCCACGTCAACGTTTTGACTGACAATATCACTTAAATTATATTGAAAAAAATTCTAGAAAATAAATCAAACATCCAACATCATCAGAAGAGATTAAATAATGCAAAAACAAAAGTTTATAAAAATACAAGTATACCTTTATAATGGATCCACTCATTAGTAATTCCTCGGCAACAAGCTCAAATTCAGATACTGGATAATCAGACAACCCGAAGACTATACTACTCCCGCATAGAAGGCTAATTTGGCCTCTAACCTTCAACCAGGAAAGAAAATTACTCAAAAAATGATCCATGAATGAACTATTTATTGCCCTACTTAAGGTCTAATGAAAGTGACTAGCATACAGAAAAGAGCTGAGATGTGTTGCATTTTAGGAAAAAGGTAGATTTCATGATCCATACTAACATAAAGTAGAGAGACTATTTAATGGAATAATTTTTACGATAAGATATTTAATGCAAACCATGTGTATCATCAAAAATGGGTTAATTATACACACACGTTGGGGGTCTGCTGCATCAATAATCAACATAATCCACACATCTAAAATCTAATTTTGTACAATAAATACTACGTACAATTTTCAAACCTGAACTCTAGTCCAAAGCAGAGGAACCAAAACTTTTGCATTGTTCTCCACATATACATTTGTCCACAAGGGGGTAGTAGAAAAATCTAGCAAAGGAGTCTCTGTTTCTGTTGTTATATTATTATTGTCCACCCGTAGACTTAACATGTAGTCATCAAAGTAAGTACCAGAAGCCCCACCATTCCAAGGGCACCCAATACTCTGACCACCTGCAAAGGAATGCAGCATAATAATAATTAATAAATTTTGAACAACTCGAATAGGAGCATGAAATAAGGGCATACAGAAGCTAAAAAGTTGATGCATAGCAGTGAGGATGGTTTTTCACTCGTGCATGTGAAGTAACACCTAAAATTTGGACACAAGTCAATAAGTAAAAAATATTATAGACCAATGTGGCCATAGATTCATATCTAATTACGACAATGATAGAGCCAATGTGACTAGCCTTAGAGAGATTAGGTTTGAGGCATGAGGCAGATTTTAGCATTTATTAGGACAGACAGTATGCAGGTATCAAATCTCAAGACCATTGCAATTAGAACTGTCAAGGTGACAAGTCAACCAAAAGCTTAAGCTTGTAGTTGTAAGCCCAATAAAGGTTTTATCCTCAAACAAAAATTTAATTGAGTTCACTTAAGTGGGTCAACTAGACACTGTGATGCTACTAAGAAGACGATATTCATTCGAACATTAGGATGTGAAACACACTTAAATCCATGTGTATTACGTAGTAGTATTTACCTAGGTATTTTAATATCATTCAACCGTTGTTGTATTGACCACTAAGCCGGCAATTTATGAGCCTTTCTTAACTAGGGTACATTTTCCTCTTTCCCATCATATTTTTTTAGAGGATCTCCCAAGTCTCATCTATCACATCTTGATACTAATTATCTCCTCTCCATCAAATAGAACTATCCACTATGCAGTGATGTAATAATAAAAGTAGAAGTCTGCTATAGTGCAACTAAATAAACAACTAAACATGTTATCTCATTCACTGATCTAAACAAGAATTTATAGAGCCTTCTTGGTAGTAGAGGACTTCCCACTTCTTTCTTAATCAACTCTCATTCAATAATCTCTTCCCCTTTTCATGGGAAAAAATCAGTCCAACAATGATTGAGACTAAATGTGTGCTACTTGTCAGCTCATTATGATGTCAAAAGACATTTGGTATATGAAACCAGGCTTCATTTCGCCTTTTTTACATCAAATTAATCAGAAGCAGAATTCAACACAGTTCTGACAGGATAATGAAAAATCAAGATGTAGTACATCAAGAATAAGATCCAATAAAGCCTCTATAAAAAATTGAAGAGATTGGCTATCAAATTTTAGCTGTCCTACCTGTAGGAAAATAATTGGAAGAACAAAACAAATGCAGATCTGTTTATAAAATACTCTGTTTATATACTCCAGATCTGATTTTTTATTGTGAACTACTTTCAGGAATTCTATGTTCCTGGATTATTTATAGACATCAACCAACACAACTTTTGGTACTAATCAACACATCTATTACTAACTAATACAACTTCTAGAAAATAACTACCTTTAACCTCCAGAAATAACTACCCCTGTCCCTTTTATTTTTAAAATTTAAATCTAAACTAATAACTTATGACCAGGAATTAAACAATACGATTAAATCTAACACTACCATGCACAGTAACTTTTACATCTTCTTGCTTGCTGTAGCAATTTAGAGAAATTCTTCCACCACCACCACCACCCCATCCACTTCCACCAGCTGCACTTATCATTCCATTACCCTTCCTGTACAGACATTTAATAAAGCAATTACATAGAAGCATGCAGATGCTATTCATAATTGGTTCAGTGTTTACAGCAAACTACTTGATAACTTATTAGAAGAAGTAAACATGTTTGTTTACTAGTCTATATGTCATGTGCACAAATATGCCATCTATTTAAAATGACATTTTCTAATTTGGTAAGCCAGATTTTGCATGCACATAGTGACTCCGTAAACGTAATTTCAGTAGAAAATGGTGGCGGATTCCAGTTAAAATGACATATTCTAAATTGGGAAGCCAGATTTTGCATGCACATATTGACTTCGTAAACGTAATTTCTGTAGAAAATGGTGACGGACCATAACTCTGAGTCAGCTCCAACATTAATGCACTTGATAAAGCAATTGTTTTCTCAAGAATCTTCATATTTGAAAATTGGCCACTCTTTATTCATCACTTTCTTTGAATGTGAACATGAGCGCTATTATTCATCACTTTCCTTCATTGTCTCCTCCTCGTGTAACCTCACTTAGCTAAAAATATATAATAAACTATGAATAGTTTAATATGTTGTTACTTGGAACACTTAAACGATTCTTCACCGGCTCAAAATTTAGAGTGGCAAATATTCACATGTCCCATCGGAAATTAAAATTGTGATTTTCATGCTCCAATGTCTTAATCAGGTGTCATATATGGTTCTAGATTTAGTTCCAAACCATACCAAAGTATGAAATTCAAAAAAGTGTTAATTTCTCCCAATGAGCAAGAATTCAAATCAAAGTGAGGAATATATCATACTAGTATTATTCTAACGAAAATTGAAAAGGAGACGGAAAAAGATAATAAAAGTGGGAAGTCTACTCACAACTTTTGAGCAAAAATAATGATACTTCCACCAGATCCTCCACCTCCATCTGGGCCTCCATCACCACCATTCGAACTTATAGATCCATTTGTGTGCAATAAATCTTTAACCTCAAGCAAAACACGTCCTCCACCACTTCCTCCAAGCTTATGCTCAACAGATGTGCCACTGCCCTTGCTTCCATAAGACCATGGCTTCGACAAAGTTGACCAAGCATAAACATCACCACCCCAAGCATTCGTTTGATTGGCTTTCAGGCACGATGCACCTCGTCCACCATGCCCTCCACCAGCTCCTTCATAGCCAACTGGTGTGCCACTGGTCTGAGAAGGAGGTGATCCACCCAATGCTGTTGTATTTATAGAAGAATTGGACTCCATAGTCAGAGTCAGAGATGAAAGAATAATGGAACCAGCTATTAAGGCAGCATCCTGGCCAACATTAACATTACCAGACAAATTGATACTTATGGTGCATCCTTCTATCGGACAAACAATTAAAACTTGAGAAAGTATCTCCAAGTTTCCAGAACCTGATACATACAAATCAGAATTTATGTACAGGTTTGAATTCAGATAGCAGGTGGTATCAAATGATCCAACACCTTCGAGATCCTGACAAGACACCAAGTTTATTGAAGCAAAAGCACTTGATTCTTGGATGTGGCTTGTGATATTATTTATGGATCCAATACTCTCAAATGGTATAGAATGGTCAAATAATCCTCTTTCGAAAGGTTCTCTCTTACGCTGCGATGCAGCAGCTGACAATGAACCTATGAAGATATTCCCGCACAAAAAGCACCAGAAGAGGTAGCTTTTTGTTCGCATTACACACATTACCACACAAAGTATGTTGAGATCAATACATGAGATTGTGCTCCACTCCAGGGGATCAATAAAGATGAAACAAGTAAGATATTGATCCAATAATGTTCTGCAATATCCGGTCCACTTTCGGGCAAAACCAACTGTTTATACTTCCTAGTTGCCACACTGTAGAGAACACATTTATGCCCTCAATATCGTGCAGTTGAAGTATAAAACTAACTACCACACAGTGAAATCAAACCAAAAGCAGACTAAATGAAGTTGTTAAAGAGTATAAAATCACTCCTAGGCCTACAACCACAAGCTTGAGCTTTTGGTTGAATTGTTAGAGTATAAAATCATGTCCAGGAACCAACTCAACCAAAAGCTCAAGCTTGTGGTTGTAGGCCCAACTCCCAAGAATGATTTTATACTCTTAACAGAAATATCTACACATGAAGCAAAATCGAGCCGAAAACTAAACTCCCTAAGTGATGAATGCACAGACAAAACACAGCTGCACTAAGTCACCCTCCAATCCTCATTTCACTCAGGAAAAACAAAGCAATTTATAAATCTCTCTGGAACAGAGCCACTCCGAACCTCAAGTCCGCAAAATCAGAATCACACAGCCACGGATTAAGAGTGCGTGCGCGCGTGTGTGTTTGTGTGTGTGACAGGGAGAAAGGAAGCACCTAGTTATAGGAAAATTGGGGAAATTTCCTGGGAGAGAGAAATGGAGAAATCGTTGTCTTTTCAATCATCACTGAATGGAAATACAGTAAAGTTCATCAATGAGCAGAGCGAAGCCAAATAGCAGGAAGCAAGTGAGACTAAGCATTCGCCTTTTTCAATCTTCTCCATACTTTATTGCTTTTTTATCATCTTTTTCAGTAGAGTGACGATGGCGATGGCTTCCTTTGTTTTTTCGCGAGAGAGAGAGAGAGAAGGTCTTCGCGAGTCCAAGTGAAGAAGGTAACTCCTTTGCTAATTGGACCAATGCTAACATAACATGGTGTGCTTCGCACATCCATAAATCCATAATAATTATATCTGTAACACACATAATTATCGTCTGTGTTTGTCTGTGCGAAGCATGGGTGCACCCATGGTGACACCCTAGCATGGTCCAACTCCGTTCCATCTCTGTTGGTCTAGCTGCTGAGTTACGGCGTTACTCCTTTTACCATTTTGGGCTTTGAGTAATTTTGGGACCAGCATAATCCAGTCTGGTTTTAATTCTCTGAAGACTGGAATGGAAAGTTTGGAACCATTTCTTGCTCGTTCAGTTCTGATTCCGGTCTCGGTTCTCGAAAAAGTAGAATGAGAAGATTGAAACTATTTCTTGATTGGCTCTCAATTTGAGACGGTTCAAGTTCAAATTTTGATATCCAAAAGTGGGAACTGAAACCCTTACCTCACGACTTTAATTCCCGAGCTATTACACTTCTGATTCCAATATGAAATCTTGTCCATCCCTAATAGAGTGTTTGGTGATGACTATTCAATAGTGGGGCTTTGGTTCTTATTTTTCATATTTTGACTCTTTGTAACACCCTAATTCGTCCAGTTCTGTAACTCTTTTCGGATTAAAGTATTAATTTGGTAACATCATAATTTAAAACTTTATTTAAAAAAACTGTGCAAAATATTTTGGAATAACATCGGAGTATAATTATTCAAAATAATGCGGAAGCATTTGAAACTAAAATGTGATAAAATTATTTACTCAAATAACTAATTTGTGCACGTCCACATCGCCTCCATTTCAGTACCTCAGTATGTGCGCCACATCTACCCACATGTAGAAAGATGAAAAAGTTTACATGTTCAATAATGAAGCTGAGCGATATCATGGCACAACAAAAGAATTTACAGAATAGACTTCTTCTCGATGGCTACATAAGTTTTGACATCAAGGTCAATAAAAGAGTATAAATGAAGGATGTGTGTGTGGGGGTGCGTTAAAGGATAGTCGAGTTAAGGTGGTTTATCGAAGATTAATGAGGTAAGAATTATTAATTTTATCAACGAAATATCGTAAAAACTCGATATCATATTATGACAGTATATTATAATGTCAAAAGAACTTGTTTAAATTTAGACTAATGCTTACATGGTCTTAAGGTTCACGTACATTTAAAATGTGGATTGGATCTTCTAAGAGCATTTGTAGTGGCAAGGCAAATAGCCTCCACGCACTGCCACATCAGCACCACACACATTTCTCCTCGCGTGTCAATTGCCTTTTGACTCTCCTTGCGAGTCATTGTCGAGGCATGGAACAACTTTTCTTTTGTTTTTTCTTTTTTTTCAACTTTTGAAGGAATTGAAATAAATTACAACTGGAAGGTGACCTAACTAGGCAAGGGAGTCTTCCAGCGGTTGATAGATGCAGCAGGGACAGGGACGAAGAACGCATATATGGGGGTAATTACCCAATCTCCTTTTCATGTTTTTGATTTATTTTGTTTAATTTGTATTATGATTTTTAAATTTGTTAATTTAATTATCCAATATGAAATATTTTTTATTTTTAGTTTCAATTTCTATTTTTATATAAAAAAAGTTTTTTCTATGAAAGTAATAGAAATACGTAGCATTTGTAGGTTAAAAGAGATGAGAAAACTAATTTTTATTAGTTAATTACATCAAAAAAATTTAAAAATAAAAAAGTAATGACTTACCATTGTAGGACTTGTCTCTCCACTCACTTGCCACTCTATGACTGGACCTATTTCAATTGGTTGAAATATGTCATGTCATCGTGTGACATTCTAAATCTTTACTTGTCATTGTTTGTGCTTTAATATTTTCATGGTCTTACGTGTAGTCGGTGTAGATATATTTTTTTTGCAAAAGACTCATTTTTTAATGCTATAGACACACTAAGGTTCATAAAATTATAATGGACCTCAAGGCTATGAAAGAATTTTCCAAAAAGATAATTTTTGTTTATGTATATGTTTTCATTTATTATTTGATAAAATAAAATAGACATATTGATACTTGTTTCATAGAACTTTCAATGTAATTTTTAAATATGAAGTTTATGATTATTTTTATATCAATTGTAAGTAAAGTTATTTTAAAGAAGATTGCAATTTTGTACGTTCGTTATAGGAAAGAAGACCAATATTTTACGAGGCAGCTAGGGTGTAGTTCTTTAATTATCACAAAAAAAAAGACAATTAATTTTAGACGAGAATATAATTTATTCCTAACATGCATCGATCTACAAAAATAAACTCCTAAAATTGATGAGATTCCAAAACATAAGTATGGAATCTCATACTACTTTCTTTAGTATTCTACTTTTAATTTTTTTAATCAAAACTTATAAACTTTAACTTCAAATTAAATAATAATGATATTATATATTGATACAATAATACTCCGTAGTTTTATTGGGTTTATTATATAAAATATTTTTAAAAAATCATTTTATAAAATAGACAAATAGTTTTACTCCGTCACCCGCCAACCCCGCCATCGCCCCACACATAGAATTAATATACGGAGTAGTAAAATAGTAAATGCATGGCAGAAAAGAGGAATTTACTTGAATAACACTAAACATAATGACTTTCCCTAAATAGTACCACATGTGTTTTTCTTCCTAATGTAGCACTTTTAGTCATTATGCATTAGTTATTATTCAAGCAAATATTCATCATCACTGAACATTATGGACATTATTAAGTGCTATTTAGAGAATAAAGAAATGACTTAAGTTTTAGTGCTATTTAGTACAAATATTTCTATTATTTATGGCCATGATGAAAGAAATACATAGCCGGAAACAAGCTGCTGATTTACGAGCACGAACATGTCTATGATCCCGTCTCCGGCCGGCCGCTCACCGGCGCCTGGATTTGGGACTCCGCCGTCTTCCTCTCCGAATGGTTGATATCATCCCCGGCTCGGCGGACGAGCTTTGACTTCGCGGGAAAAACGGTGATCGAGCTCGGTGCCGGGGCGGGGCTTCCCGGCATGACGGCGGCGGCGGTGCTCGGGGCACGCCGGGTCGTGCTGACGGATGTGGAGGCGTTGGTCCCCGGGCTGATGAAAAACGTGGAGGCGAACGGGCTCGGGGACCGAGTCGAGGCGAGTCGACTCGTGTGGGGCTCGGGAGAGTGGCCAAGTCGACTCGCCTGGTTGGAGGCGGCGGCGGACGTGGTGCTGATGTCGGACGTGATGTACGACGCGGAGGCGATGGCGGGGCTGGCGGAGACGGTAAAGAAGGTCTGCAGCAAGGGGACAAAAGTGTGGGCGGCAACGGAGGTGCGGGCGTCCACGGGGGATTGCCTCGCCGAGTTGGAGAAGACGGGATTTGGAATCGTTCAACTTCCGAGTCAACTCGGCGAGGGATTGCCACACCGTTTTGACGACTTCGTAATATTTGAGCTGATCCCTCCCACAAAGAAAGAAAGTTGAAGATAATTATGGTTCCTGAATATACTGGATTTTTTTATTCATATGTTCGAGTTAATTTTATGGTATTTTTGGAAAGATTTCAAATACAGATTTAGTTCAAATTCTATATTTAGGAAATTTTAAAAATTTAGATTTGAATTTGAGCTAAATTTCTCTCATTCATATCGTAATTCAATTTGAAATCGATACAACTCACTTTCTTATTTAAATTTTGAAATTGAGATGTATTATTTAAAATGAAATACTACTTCCCAAACATTGTCTTATTGAAATTTATATTACTCCCTCTACTTGACAAAAGCTGAATAAATTTACATTGTCCCAAATTTCATTCCTTATTTTGACTTTACACGTTTACTAAGAAAAAATTAAAGATTATAAAAATTTTTCATGTTTGTCTTATATAATAGAATAAATTGAATGGTGTAAATAAAAAGTAAAACTAAAATGACATATTCATTAAAAGCTTTTAGCTGAAATAGGAAGTGATAATGAAATTTGTGGCCGACCCAAAAAAGTAGAGGGAAAGAAATCAATGGACAAAGTCTCAATTGGAATTGTATGGATATTATGTATACGGTCAAACTTTAACTACTTTTATTATTAATTTTTTATAGTCATTTAATAAAATAATATAATTATATCATTTTTATTTTATAGGGAGTAATACTTTAGATGCCTTTTGAAGTTCTTAAGTATATAAATTTTAGTTTTAAATTCCACACCAATTTTTATATAAAATAAATTAAAATAATTTTATTCAACTATCGTAAACCAAAAATTAGAGACACTACGTTTTTTACAACTAAGAATGTGATTGTTAAGCAAGGATGCCTAAAAATAGAGACACACTACGTTTTTTACATTTTATTGGTTGTTTTTTTAGAACAAAGATACATTTTAATTATCAAAAAACAAAGATTTTATTCGATATTGGTATTACACGTTAAAATCCATTTTTTGAGAAAACAACATGAAACCAGATTATTCCAGTCCTAAACTCATCTCAACCATTTGAACAATAACGATATAAGAGCTTGGTATGCAAACAACGTTTGTTATGCACACAGCCACACAATGTTTAATACAGTAATATTTTCAGAACACTAAAGCTAAATGTTAAATTAAATGAAATCTAAATCCCATTTTAGTTATTCCCACCGCATGGTCAAGGACAAAAATATTACAGTATTAAAGAAGAAAAAGGATATTCGTACTTTTATCCAAAAAAATAATATTGCATTCATTTCTATGAAACTAAATTAAATTCATTTGAACATTACTCCTTCCGTCCTTCATAGATCTTCCAATTACACGCTACAAGACTTGATCAAGTTTATTTTCAATTCAATTTATTTGATCGTAATTGTGTTCTTTTGGAGGGGGAGTAAAATATTGGCTAGCACTATATAGACATTTGATCTGCATTGGGGAGCTCAAGCAATAGGAATTGCGATGCTCGGTGTGGCAATGCTATAGGAGGAGACGGGGCAAATTATTACATGCACCTAAGGTAAGGGGCGTATTGTACGGACAGTACATGAAGAAATTAAGATATTTAAGGACGTCGTTATACAACTACAACAACAAACCAAATAAAATCGCACAAGACATAGGGTGTTGGAGGTTGTGTGTAAGAGATAGGTTGTTCCCAAAGACTAATGTAAACCGACAAGGCAAACACAATAGCACGAAGAAAGTAAGGACACAAATACATGGAAGGATGTCGTTGTCATAAACGTAAAATGTCCAGAATAAACAACGGTGTTTGTTCGAGTGGACAGAGAGAGACAGAGATGCAGATTGCATAAAAAAACTCAAAACCATATCACATTAAAGCACCAGAGGTTGCATACACCAAATGTTGTCATCAGTAGAAACACAACAGAACCAAAAAGAATAATCAACAAATGGTATATAAAGCTAAGACATCTCGCGGAACCTGGCAATCGCCTTCTTCTGTATCAGGGTTCTATAGCTGTCCCCGGCCTGCACTTCCAGGCTTGGGTCGACTTTCTTTGGCTTCGGTTGACTTCCAAGTCCTGCTCGGTTGTCTGTCGCCTGTGCTTGAACTGGCTCCTTCATCCCGCTCCCATCCTTTCCCAATCCCTGGACATCAAATCAACCGGGAAAAAAAACAAAAACAAAAAAGAAACAATTTTCCAAATCAACTGTCAGTTCCTGGAAATCATCCCTTTTCTTCATTCACTGGTCCGCCAGGTTTTGTGTCCAGTAGAGAAGATTCAGCCATTAACAGGCGCTACATTAACAGTTTGATACACATGTCCCTTTACACTATGTTTGGTTCAAGGAATTTGAAAAGGAAAAGAAAAAAATTAAGATGGAAGACAGTTTTTCTTGTTTGGTTAGAGAGGAAAAGAAAAGAAAAGTGTATGGGAAAAAAATGAAAAGGTAAAATATACTAAGAGGGGAAATCAAATTCCTTCCATTTTGGAGAGGAAAATGAGAGAAACTCAGGTTCTTTTCTTTTCCTTCCTAATTCCTTGAACCAAACATAGTGTTAGAGTTAATGGTTTACTGTGTTCTAATTAGGGAGTAGTGAACATGAATAAATAAAATGAGCACCAATAATTATCTGAAATAAGTGTATCTAGTTTTTGTGCATCTTTTCTATTACCCCACATTTTCTTTCCTTTTAATTTTCCTCTGTTTCCTTGCTACTGTATTATATTTCCCCGCATTTTGGCACAATAAACATCTAGAGATTTAGGATTAGAGTAGTTGGGTAGATCTTTGAGTCTTAATTCGGAGTTTATGATGGTGCGTTTTACGCCGGTATCTGTGCTTCTTTTGTCTATATATTATTACTTTGTTTGTGCTGCTGTATACTCTGTATATGCTTTTGTATTTGAGCCGAGAGTCTCTTGGAAACAACATCTACTTTCGAGTAGGGGTAAGGTCTGCGTACACACACCTTCCCCAAACCCTACTTATTGTGGGATTTTAATGGGTTTGTGTCATTTTGTGTACGGACAGTTACTTGAGATGAGAGTGAGTATCAAATAAGCATATGAGGAAGTGAAGGGTGAGGAATGATACCGAGCCCTCTTGCCAGCCCATATTTCTGAGCATACGGTTCCCAACATTACTCTCATCAATAGCTCGATCAGAAGTTATAACCTCAAAGCTTTGAAGATTTGCATCTGCAGAAACACGGCTGCCTCCAACTCCAGGCGGGAAAGGAGTTGGATCAAACACACCTCTTCTCGATGTGGAATCATGATCTTAATTTCCCACAACAACAAAACAAATTCCTCACAAGTCAATACAGATATTTAAAATATAGAGTACATCAAGTCATCAACTCCCATTTGAATCTTCTTTCCCAATAAAATTTCCCACTAAGGTCAGGAATCAAGAATATTAGCTCTCAAACACATCCACACCCTACCAAAATAACTACAAAAGCAATCAGGGAATTGCTGCAACACACTTCTAAAAATAGAGATGAAGTGATTTGGTCCCTCAACTACGTAATGAGGGTGTTCAGCAATGATTTTGGTGACTGGCCCGCAGTTTTTGCATTGGATAAAATCAAGTTAGTAATGTCTGGCACTGCTTTTGGTCTGTGATTATCTTCCTCTAATAAAGATAGAGAAGAAAAAAAGTTGAGAAGCATCTCTGAGGTGCTTTTGGAAATTATCACTTTTCCAATACTTTAAGGCCGAACCACCAACACCCTCATTACTCAATCTGTTCCTATTTAACTGTTTACTTCAACCAAACCACAGATATTAAGTAATTCACATAAATTTTAGAAACCAATGACAGCTTTTATCTTTATCATACCAAATTTACTCACATTTAAGTTTTAAGGATAAGGTTAGTAGAAATGAATTAATTCACCATATATATGTAAAACAGAAAAGTAAAAGAAGAACCGTAGAAGTTCTCAATTTGCTAGTCGACATTCCGTTGGAATCAACTTGATCCACAAATACAAAGTGAGACATGTTCCACACTTATTAAGAGGAGCATTTTTGCACACTAAGAACTAATTCGGGTCCCCCCCCCTCTCCCTCTCTCTCTCTCTCTTTATACATACATACATACATATATACCCACACACACACACACACACATATATATGAGGGCACATTTAAATCTGAAATTGGGTCTAAACTTAGTAGGAATAACAAAATATACCCTGGTACATCTCATTGTATAAAACCCAAATTTGCAATCAAAATTAAATCCAGTCAGGACCAAATTGAATGTAAAAACAAGGATTGAATTGAGTAATAAAATATAGTCAAAGGGGAGGGAGTGAATGGCGTAATAACTCTTGTAAAAAATCATTAAAAAACTCAGCGAAACACAAAGAATATTATTTATCCAAAAAACAATTCATTAAATTCTTACTTGAATCCCCGAGATCCAATAAATTGTCTCCATATGAGGAAGAACCATATAAACTCCTTCGCTCGGCGGCACGGTCTCTATAGGCACTATTATTTGTAAACTGTTCCTTATCGGAAACGTGTTGTGATGGCATCTCAGAGAACCTTCTTTTACCGCCACTTCCAGCTGTCACAGATGATGTGGAGGAACTCAATGCAGATGGATCTGTTCTATATGGAGTTGCACTTGTCGCAACATCTGAAGTAACCGATGGAGCAGAAGTTCCTAATGACCCTGTGTATGAAGTGTCTTTTTTCACCACTCCCAGTCCAGATCCCCTAATTACACCCTTTAAAGGTGCTACTACCCCAGAGCTGTTGGTCAGAGGCCTATCCTGGGATTCCAATCCTACTGATTGGACACTGGGACCCACCGAGTCAATTCTTGATTTGGGTTTTTCATCTACTGCCTGCGGGTTATCTAGAGCCACACGGGGTGCTTGGCTTTCATGGCTTCTTTGTTTCCACATGGTTAATACGTTACTCATCTTTTTCTTGTTGGCAAGGATGCTGCTCTTTGCAATCTTTATTTCTTTTGATGACTTCCCCTTCTCTTTTTTCTCTGCAGCATTTGCTGCTGCAGCTGCAGCTTGGATGGCATCGGGTAATGATGTAGCTTTCTCGCTTGATGATGTCACAGTAGCAGGTGCAGATATAATCACCTTTCTTGCATTGGATGCATTTTCAGTTTGATTCTGAGCAGTTTTGTCATTCTGATCGCTGCATGGGACATATTGCTGAGAGTTCTGGTCGTATGAGTACCAGATTCCATTATTTCCATCATAATATAAGCCTGCAAAGATCGAAAATGCAAAGAGAAATGAAAAATATTATTTATTTTGTAAATTTACATATATCTTGAGCAGGGGGTCTCTTGGAAACACCCCCTCTACTTTTGAGTAGGGGCAAGGTTTGCGTACACACCCTCCCGGCCTCCCAAGACCCTAAACTTGTGGGATCCAACTGGGTTGTTGTTGTTTACATATATTTAGACCCCCTACAAGTCTTATAGTGGAAATTAATAAATAAAATAAGTTGAATAAATATCTAAAATGTATTTATTAAGTATGAGTCTAGTTATTCTTATTTTTTTCTAAAACTTCCTTTTCCTTTAAATTTTCCTCCTTTTTGTTTCCAGAGTGATTTGAGTTAAAACTGACCCACAAAGTTCTTGAAAACATTTCAGTAATTCCCCAATGAAAATTATCCATGTTCGCAATCCATGGTTATCAATGTGACAAGTCGAGTCGGTGGGGAAGATGCTAGTGGACTAGTCGACTAGTTGTGGACTATTCGTAGACTTGTCGATAAATTACAATTAGTAAAAAAAATTTAAAATTATATATTTCTTCATTCACCAAAGATAGCTATATACGGAGTATTTATTTATACGATGAAATATCATTACCATAACAAAATCATGTTTAAAGGTAGTACATAAACTCACATAACGAAGACTGCATAAGAAACAAATATCCTAAACTCTTCAGGCCGAAAAACCAACAAAGATAATAATTAACCAAAACAAAAATAATATGTTGGGAGACAGTTGAAGGTTCTGCAGATATAGCAAAGGTGTTTGAGAAATACTATACGAAATTGCTGGGAACTAAAGGGACAACTGAAATGGTTAACCCTAAGATACTACAGGAAGGAAAAGTGTTGGGGGCTGAACCACAAATGGGGCTGATCAAAGGATTTAATAACCAGCAGGTAAAGGAAGCAATGTTCTCAATCCCAAATGATAAAAGTCCAAGCCCAGATGGTTACAATAGTGGGTTCTTCAAAAGCCAATGGAAAGTGGTGGGGGAGCTGGTTACAAATGCTGTTCTGGACTTCTTCAAAGAAGGAAAAACCCTACAGCAAATAAACGCTACAAGCTTAACACTGATTCCAAAGATCCCTGAGGCAATAAATCCTCATGAGTATAGACCTATAGCATGCTGTAATACCATATACAAGGTCATCTCAAAATTAATATCCCAGAGACTGAAGGAGGTTCTGCCCCACATTATAGATTTGAACCAAGGAGCTTTTGTTAAAGGCAGAGAACTGGTCCACAATGTGTTAATTTGCCAGGAGATAGCTAAAGGTTATAAGAGGAAAGGAATTTCCCCAAGGTGTATGATGAAGCTTGACATCCAAAAAGCCTACGACTCAGTCAGTTGGGAAGCAATAAGAAGCATATTGTACAACCTTAAGTTCCCAGAACAATTCATAAGTTGGGTAATGTTCTGTGTCTCCACCCCAAGCTATATACTAAACGTAAATGGAAGCCAGTATGCATACTTTAAAGGAGCTAGGGGATTAAGACAAGGGAACCCTATGTCTCCATTACTCTTTGTGCTAGTTATGGAATATCTTACTAGATCCTTCCAAGCTGCAGTTAATTAGGGTAGGTTTGGGTTCCACCCCATGTGTGCTAGCGTGAAGATATTGAATCTATGCTTCGCAGATGATCTAATTGTAGTGTGTAAGGCTGAGACCAAGGCTGTGAATTGCATTATGAAGGTCCTCGAAGAGTTTAAACTAGCTACTGGTTTGAGTATTAACTATAATAAATCACACATAGTCTTTGGGGGTATCAATGAGCAGATTAAGGAAGAATTACTGAAGATTACTAAAATGAAAATGGGAACACTGCATTCACATATCTGGGCAGTCCCATTACGGCGGCCAGGCTATCAGCAAGTGATTGTGAAGCATTGGTACACAAAATTACAACAAAAATAGGAGCTTGGGGTTCAAGGCATTTCTCATATGCAGCTAGAATCAGAATTATAAACTCAGTGCTGATGGGGATCATTACGTTCTGGTCAAGGATCTTCATTATCCCAAAAGGAGTGATAAAGAAGGTGACATCAATTTGCAGGAATTTTCTTTGGGGCAGCTCCAGTGACTATAAAAGAACTCCTTTGGTGAAATGGGAAGAGGTATGTCAGAGAAGAAATTATGGAGGGCTGGGACTGAAAAACATATTCAACTGGAACAGGGCCATAGTCATGAAGCTGAATTGGGACATTGCAAATAAAAAGGATGTACTATGGGTTAAATGGATCCATAATAGGTACATTAGAGGGGCTGATTTCTGGAATTATCTACCTAGAAAGGATTCATGCCAATATTGGAAAGCTATGATCAAAGTTAGAGAGGTTTTTAGACCAATGCCAACAAGCAAAGACTACAAAGTGAAGGAGGGGTATAACTGGCTCCAGGCTGAAGGAGCTAAACCACAATGGACAAAATGGGTGTGGAATAAATTCACACCACCCAAATTTCAGGTAGTGTTATGGCTGTACATGCGTGGAAAACTGCAGACTAAAGATCGATTGGGGAGATTCCTGCCTGTGGATATGAGATGTGGATTGTGTGAAGAGGAGAATGAAACGGCCAAGCACCTATTCTGGGACTGTAAATATGCAAAGTGGGTGATGCAGCAAGTGTTTGATAGATATAACATCTTGGTCCAAGCTAATAGCGTAGAGAAGATGGAAGATACAATGATGAAAGAAAAGGGAAATACCACAAAGTTGAAGATTGCAGCTATATGGGCAGCCTGTCTTTATAGTATTTGGAGAGCTAGAAACAAAATAGCTCACCAAAACAGGTGTACGGCAGAAGAGGCTAGAGACTATGTTATTAGCTATATAAATTTTTATTTTAGGTATAAAAAAGTAAGGTAGATGATCGTGGTTAGAAGTCTAATGAGTGTGTACAAAACTTTGGAGTTAGTAATGAATTGAGTGTTTTTGGTTCAAAAAAAAATATGTTAAAATATTATTTTTTATATGACATAGGGCTACTCTCGATAAAAGTAAACTTTTTTTTGAGGTTCAATAAATGTGAACTTTATTTTTAAAAAAGTAAAAAAGTAAAAAATATGCCTATTTTAGGAACGAGTTTTTAAAAGGCTTATTAGAAAATTAGGCCTTGTGTAGAAAAGCCCACAAACGTTTGAACCAGCCCAAAAATTATGACCAATTATACTGTACCGTAAATAACAAAGAGAGAGGGAGAGAGGTGTTTTAAGGAAGCAGCCGCCTCAATGCTACAGATCTGCTTGACATAGAGTGAAACACGATAGATCCGTAAGAAAGATGGCGGTGACAATGAATCGGGGATATAAGTCTTCTTCATATCTTCTTCTTCTCCTTTATCTTCTCTCAGACTTGAAGCTGTCTTCGACGCATTTCAGCATTTCCGAGGTCTCCGAGCCGTCTCCGTGCAACATAGCAGTTCTAGGCACAAGTCGACAGTCAAATCGAGCTCTCCAAAACCACCGGGCGACTAGTCGTTGATTAGGCAAAGACTTAACAACACAATGCAATCCAAGATTAATTGAGTAAAACATAACAGTTTTTCCTTGAAAATTTTAGCAAACTTCCTGAGATTGAATGATATGTTATTTCCTGTCTCTAAAACAACATAATTCATCACACCCAATAACTAGTGACTATGATGAACATCAGTTATATATGGCAGAAAATGGAACACCGTAACACACTTCTCTAGTCTCTACAAACTGAAAAGAAGTATACTATGCCATAAACCACCGTAAGATAATAAGACAAACCTGTATTCCCATCATAGTAGAACCCAGAAGCAGCATCATAATAATAGCCAGATGTTTCGTCCCACACAAAACCAGACTGTGGAGCAGAACCATCCTTTTGATTTGCAACTTCTCCAGACTGCTCTTGCCCCGTATTAAATTGCTTTTCGTCTGGATTGTATTCCTTCGGTGTCCAGCCAACAGCATCATACTAATAAACAATAGTGCAGGAGAGTTAAGCAAATGTATTGGCCAGTACACAAAATCACTGAACAGAAAATCAACTACCAAATTCCATGGTTGTTGTTTGAAGAATGAGACCATATTTTAGCAAGGATCCTCCACCATTTTCATAAAAAGAAACAGTATGGTACAGAAGACGACAAGCCACTGCTATTCAGTCATTTATTGTTTGCTTTGAAAATTTGACCAAGTAAACTAGCCACTGTACCTGTTGAGCAAAAGTTGCCGCTTCAATGGCAGCAGCAGCAAGGCTACTAGCCTGAGAAGCTCCAGGAGCCCCTGATCCTGGACCAAGGATACTTTTTGCATACGCAACTCTAAGAATCTGGCCATTCCTCTCTAAAGTTGTTCCATTGGTAGCTTCAAGAGCTTTAGATGCATCCTCAACCTTGTTACAAAGACATGTAGCATAAGAAATTATCTTTGAAATACTACACACAAACACACTTCCTAAAGCAGAGTACTTGTGCACGGTTGTCTGAATTCACCTTGGTAATATGTAAATTTAGGAGCCCCTGATCATAAATCCCAAGTCCCAACAGACACATACCTAATTTTCGGATGTGGGATGAGAAAATTGATATGTCTGGAATTCAATTATGATTTTATGTATATGTTGTCCAATTCCTTACTTTGACTTATCATCCAACAAAATAATGCAGGAGAAATAAATTAATAAAATAAATATTACCCCTCCCAAAAAAACCACCCATGCAAGGAGCAAGAGAGTCATAATGACGCTCGTAAAATACTTAGTCTCAATGGAGTTCATTGCAGTTAAAGAAAAATGTGTTTGAGCATAGCAGATTACCACAATACGCATATACTAGTTCAGAAATGTTTAACAGTCTTATTTCTTTGATTTAACAAATACATCTAAACAGTTGCAACACATAGTCAACACCAGACTTACCGAATAGAAGTGCACAAAAGCAAACCCCCTTGAAACATGGGTGAATTTGTCCCTGACAAGTCTAAGATCCTGCAAACATGTGACATTGATTCAGTTTTAAACGACCAGAATTTCAAAAGTAGCACACCTGGGCTTTCCTAATCCCCCGCCAGAGTTTGAAACCCAACCCAAGCAACAACATTAAAAAACAACTAAAGTACAAGCGGTAGAAATCATGTAATACCTTGATAGGACAATGCTTAGAAAATTCATATCGAAGCATTTCTTCATCTGCGTTTTCATCCAAGCCATGAACAACCAAAACATGGGTAGGGCCTACAAAAGTACATCATGTCACGTTATTATGCCAGTATGGTTCGTACCCAAAAAATGGCTGTATCTTTCAAGTCTATAACCTGCTTCTCTCTTGAAAAGAGGTGTAGGGTTTGATGATGCCATGTCAGCGGGAGGAGCATCATCTGTACGTGGCTCATTACACTGTTCCAGAAAAAGAAGTTATTTCACCGGTAATACACTGTGCGAAAAGGAATATGACAGAATACACTGAGTGAAAGAAATTAAACCTGAAAGCAGGACGTTCTCCGTGCAAAATTTACACATCCACAAATAGTGCACATCCAATCAGAGGGCACCGTCATTCTTCTGTGGCTACCTTGAGTAGACCGTGAACTGTCAATACCAATGAGAGGCCCATTGGTCCCTCCAGTTGGTTTGCTACTGCAACAAAAGCATATTGTTCATCATCTTTTAGTTTGAATAAACGTTTAAAAAAACAAGGATAGGGAAACATTAACAGGCATAAAATATACTAGTATCATAAAATGAGAAGAATTTAGTCGATATCATGAAAAAAACATGATTTGCAAAAGATGCAAAATAAAGACATTGGATAACTACTAGTCTACTAACCTGTACTCAAAAAATAGCTTCCTACCATCAACAAGAAGACCGTCATCCCAAAGCTTTTCCATCATTGCTTGGGCGGCATCCTGTTATAGAAAAGTAAGCTCTGCCCCTCTGAATCTTTGTTAGGACAAGAAAAAACAAAACGGAAAACTATATATATCCAGTACCACAGATGGGAAATCAATAAAAGCAAAACCGCGAGAGGTGCCCGAATTCCGCTCTTTGATAACACGAACGTGGCGCAGGGGTCCCCATTCAGCCTGGTAAAACCAAAATGCAGGTAGTTCAAAAAGTGAAAGAATAGCCAATTCATAAATTTGTGCTCGTTATGTTTTTGTATCTGACAATTGATGTGTGTGTGTGTGAGAGAGAGGGGAGAAATGAAGGGTACAAGGATCTGATATAGATCTTCTTCTGTTGTCTTCTGGGAAAGACCTTTCACAACAACAGTCGCAGAAGGAGCCTAACAAGCAAACAGTGCAGTTAATCAAAATCAGAGATGAAGAAATAACAGATATATAAACATAAAGAAAAAGCTTACAGAGACATATACCACTGAATAGTTATCATGATGTCGTCTGTCATCATAGTCTCTGCGCCTTTCACCTCTATCATACCGAAGATCATCATAACTGTCCTCTCTGTGACTACGGCTATGACTACGGCTATGACTTCGACTTCGAGGAGACCTTGACCTCAGGCGATCATCGTGGTCACGAGACCGTGAACGGGAATATTCATGCCTTGAGTAAGGACTGTGGTCTCTTTCACGACTTGATGCTCTACAATCATGATCACGATCACGGGAACCACGTTGTCTCCAGTTACTAACTCTCCTATTGCCTCTATCATGGTCAGAATCATAACTATGTCTGCCATAATCATAGTCCCTTTCAAGGCTATCTTCCCTTCTTTGATGAGAAGCACAGTGGCGATGGTCATAATGATCATAAGCATAATCATCTCGGTCACGTCCCCCATACCTGGCAGGCCTGTCAAATCCATGATCATGGTTGTTGTCAAAACTGTAACTTACCATCCGTGAATATGTTAAGCTCGTGATACTTATTAGCTCATGAAAATAATCTGTGTCTGATCAACATACAGCTTCTCATTCCTTCTGGAATCCCTATCCATTGGATAATCTTCATCATAACCTCTTCTCCTTGCTTGAGGCCATATTTCAGCTGCTGCTGGAGGATGTGGGTACGGCTCCCTCTCCAATACATCACGGTGAAACCCGCTTCTTGAGTAAACATTATCTCTTGAAAATCGTTCATCAATAAATCTCCTATCCTCATATGAACCACCAACCCTACCAGAATAAACAAGGCAAAAGCCAATAGAGGAAAGGCAATGAACAAAATAAAATGCATAGAGGGCAACAAATAAACAGCCAATCGTTGTTTAATACTCCCCTTGTCCAAAAATTTCTTTCCCAGTTTGACTTGACACAGAAATTAAGAAGAGTTAAAAACTGTAAAGACTTTTCATGTGTTTCTCTTGATGTGATGGAATAAAGTGAATAGTGTAGATAAAAAGTGTGGTATAATGGCACATTCATTAAAAGTTTTTGGCAAAAATAGGAAAGAAGAAAGAAATTTTTGGACGGCCCAAAAAAGAAAGTGAGAGAAATTAATGGACGGAGGGAGTAATACTTTGAAATTTGCATCAGCATAATTTAAATAAAAAGACAAATTAAAAAATCTAGCCATTCTTCCATTGATGGAAATTAAGAAATGAAAAGATAAAATTAAGAGGAGACCATGCATCTGTTTTGTCATAATAAATATTTGTAAGCACTCACCGGAAATCAGGCTCATGGATGCCACCATAACCCTCCAAAGCCTGTGGATTCAAGAGAATAAGGTATGTCAGCAATTAATTATCATTGTACAAGATAGGGAAATCCAATCCACATCCTCACTGTCCCATGGCTTTCTGTCAATGTTCTTTAAGGTCTGAAAATGTGACAGACTCATGACCCTAGTTTCTTGTTTATCATCCCATATATGTGATTAGGAAGGAAACCACAATTACGCTGTTATTTTCCCATCCTCGCTGAGGGCAATATCTACCAGGATCCATTTCTTGCAAAAAGGCTTGTGCAATCTCTATATACTTGTACACGGCCTTTTAGAAGTATCAGGAGCGAGATGAATGAAAACCTATCCTGTAATGGATGCACAAACACGTAGAGTTATGCCATCATGAACTGAGAAAAATCTTCATCAGACGGCCTGCACTTTAATGGACTCTTGAAAGTCAAATCTTCCAACAAAAGTTCTCTTGGTCTCAATAAACAAAGAAAGCTTCATCAAGTAGTAAACATCACATAACAATACACTAGTATCATCAGCACTTCTGCAACTTGTTACTTAATCTTAAGATATATCAGGTTCCAAAAAGTAAACTTGCATGATTTATGCACCCATATTGCATGTGAATAGAAATGAATGAATGAATATATATATATATATATATATATATAACGGATGTATTTACAGTTGATGGTTCATTTCAAATTGTATACAGATCAATAAACGAGTCACATTCTCACATCTAACTATATTTGTATAGGAATGCAGTTTTCTTGCCATTTTCTAGACAAAATCGTGAGTAAGCTGTCCAGAAAGAAAAGAACCACCCTTGCAGATTACTCGGTTTATTTAAGATATTTAAAGTTTTCTATCATTACTAAACTTTTTTCGTTTCAATTAAATTCCACAGAGGGTGTTCTGCTGCATTCTAACAATAGGTTCATTTATGGTTTAGAATGCTGCTAGATAGTTATCCAAACAATAAACTGATAGCACTCACAAGCCAGAAATGAACTGAAGTGATTGGATAGGTATTACATAGGATCAATGACGCCGTTATCCCAAGCAAATATCAGACTCATATTGGAATGTGTTATATATATATATATATATATATATATATATATATATATATATATATATATGCATGGTGAAATAAAGTAAGGAGTACAAAGGGGACTGTCTAATTTAGTTACAAAAACAAATTCTCATCTAAAAGATGAAAAATAAGATCCATGGAGTAGTGCTCAACACACATATTCAACACTATAGAGCTAAAAGAAGATCTTCATAGTTGCGTTATAGCCTTCCACATTTGCAGAATCATCTAAAACACGATTTCAGTGGTGTTCTAGGATCTAAAACTCGATTTCACTGGCATGAAATCATCTGAAATTTGCGTTTCGATTCTGGAAAATCGAAACAATACTTAATTTTCGTATTCAGCGATGGATGAAGATGGAGATCGGATAACGAGATACCTGAGACGGATTAGGAGGACGAAGAACGGTGCGGGGATCGTTGAATCGGAAGAAGAGCAGGGAGATACAGGGGAAGCTGTTTTTGTAAGAGGAGTTTGTTTTTGGGCATGAAATATTGGGCTTCTCCCACAAATTAATATACTATGGTTGGCCCAATTTCTCGAAGAGATTGGTGGATCAAAGGCCCGTAGCGAAGTGGGTAAAAAAATCAATTTGGAGTAAATAAAAATCCTCTAAACTTTTTTTTCGATTACTTTGTTCATGGCCTGTTAGCTGTTTACATAGGCCCATACTATATTTTCTATCTTCTAAACATTTTATTATAGAGTAATTTTTCTTTTAACATTCAAAAAATATTTTTTTATTCTCTTTATTTTTTTAGTAGTTTACATGTGGTTTTAAAAGATTCTCTCCCATTTAAATAAATTTTAATAAAAAGTTTTTTTGTAATATTTTACTCATTCATGAAAGTCAAACAAACTATATTATATATACACACACACACACACCCAAAAACCATTTGTTCAATACAATTCAATAGTTATATTTTGTGTTACGAAATAAATTGAAGGATTCAATATTGATCTCAGAGCTTGTCTACTAAGTAATACAAAGTATAAGACCTCATATTGATATATCAATTTTCAAAAAAAAAACTATTGTGTAAAATAAAAAAGAAATTAAAATTTAAAATGTAGTACAACCCAATTAGATTACACGAGAGTAGTGTGTGATGAGATTGTTTGCATGTTGAACTTGCCCATACTAAGCAATAGAGAAATTATTTTTCTGAGACAGCGTAGTGATATTGAATATCTACAAAAAGCCTATTATAACATCAAATAATGTAAAAGTAATCGTAAAATGTCAATACACAATATCATATTATGAGTATTTCATAGTGTCAATATTACTATTTATGCAGAATATTTTTTTAATAAATAAATAAAAGATCTCAATTTGTAAATAAAATTGATATCCGAATCTCAATAAAACTAAAATACAAAAACAATGTGCTTATAATCTCAAACTGATGGCGAAAAACTGTGAGCATGAAGAAGAAGAAAAATAAAAAAAAAAGATTTGATAATCCCCATTGTGATTGACCTTAATGATGTGCCGTTTTAAGGATTAGTGGTTGAAACCACATAGTTTCCCTTAACCTTTTATTTAATCGGACGGTCCCTCCACCCGTTGGGAGTGTGGAACATAAAGACATCATACCCACTTTATGTGCTTGATTAGGACATCACACATTACACAAACACTTTGCCCTTTGTTTTTATTCAAATGGTAGCCAAATTTTTGTACTGTCTTGACATTCATACTTATTTTTATGAACCGTAAAATATAAACACTAAAAATTAATTGTACTCTGCGAAAAATAATCATCATATATACTGTGTTAGAAGGTGGACATTTCACATGTAGATTATATATGGTCATGTGGCACACATCTCAATCCCGTAATATAATTACACCTTAGATTTATCGTCACACTTCGAACAATGTGGAAAATGTAATCTTTTTAAAATCATTTTTTTAAAAATTAGTACTCGTATAAGAATACAAAGTACAAATTACGAAGTACATGTTTCAAAATTTCATGAAAAGTTCTATAAAAAAAAGAATTGTGATATCGTGGTATTAAAGTGGAAAAAGAAAAAAATATGAGTAAAACATTGAAAATATATCAAAATAGGATTTCTATATTTTTATTGTCGAAAAGTTCTAAATGCATTTTATGTCCTATTTCGAAAATAAAAATATAAAATTTCTATTTTAGTATATTTTCAATATTTTACTCTTATTTTATTCTTTTTTCCTAAACTTAGTGATGCATACGGTCAATTTAATACAGAGTACTTCATTCATCCAACAAAATATACATTCCTTTCAAGACTATGTTTTCTTTGCTGGATTTGATTTAATTCAATTTTTTGAAGTTTTGGTCCGATTAGATTTGATCTAATTGAACTTAACCTGAATCTTGATTTAAAGTTATTTATGGCATGATCTGATGTGATTGGATCTGATCTGATTAGATCTGATTGGATTTGGTCTAATTTTAATAAAAATAAGTAATAAGCTGAAATAATAAATTGAACAGAACGGATACTGAGTCATTTTAAACTAATTTTATGTTCCACACTCCCAACGGGTGGAGGGACCGTCCGATTAAATAAAAGGTTAAGGGAAACTATTTTTAAACTTTATATCTTAGTAGACCCGTTTTTGTATCAATATCTAATAAAACTATTCTTGTATCAATATCTAATATCATTTTTATTTAATTATGGGTCAAAGGTTAAAAAAAGTTAACCAAAAAAAGTCAAAAATGAATAAATATTCAGGATCGGGGTAATAATTTTTTTAAGAAAAAAATTGTGACTTTTCTTTGGAGAGAGAAATATATTAACACAGGGACAAGTGGTGTCAAGCTCCCAAAATGTGACAGTGTGGGATTGGTTCGTGGGTGATAATAAATAATTAAGCTCAAAAATGTTTGTTTGGTCAATAATAAAGAAACAAAAGGTTCGTCCGCGTAGGTACGTGTTGCCTCCTAGTATTGCTAGATATTAGTGCGCTCCCAAAATTCAAAAGATAAAAGTGACATCCACTTTAATTTGTTCAAGTCCCACAAATCATACATATACCTAAGGCTAAGTGGAGGGGTTAGTTCCTACAAATATCACCCAATGTTTGTGTCAATATTGACAAGGCTACATAATAATTGTCCTCTATCATTTGTCACAACTAACATGTGATTATATAGTTGTTATAATTACTGTATGATTTTCTAATGTCATTTAAGTAGTCGTGAGTGATTTACGTAATTACCTGTCACTTTCCAGTCGTAGATAGATGAAACGTAATTGATAAAGTTATTAGGTCATGTTTTCTTGATTGATCTAACAAGTAGAATACATTTTGATCTGATCTAATTTTAGTTATATTTAAAGTTGTTTCTAATCTGATTTGTATCCAATAGTAATAGGTAATAAGAATAACTTGAGGTGAACATGACCTTAGTCGATACATATGGTGCCTTTGAACATGGAATGAGACGTACGAGTAACGACTAAGAACACAATATTGTACGGTACAACATCTCCCTTATGCATTTTTACCTAAAAGAAAGGGGGTCCTAAACTTAAGTTTTAGGGTGGCCTAGAAGTGTGTGAATTGATTACAATGGATAAGAATAGATGGAACACGTGAGTAAGTCTTACGCGCGTTTTAATAACGCTGAAAACATGATAGTACACGTAAAATGATCTCACGCAATACTTATAGAATTGACTATTTTTTTAACTTTATATGTTAGTAGACCCATCAATAATATCCAATAACTAATGTCACATGTCAATAATAACAATTTTGTCTTATATAGCGTATACTTAGAACTTTAAATTCTAACTCTACTTGAGTAGCTTATACTTATAACCATACCGAGCGTTCATAATATTAACTATTGAACACGAGCATTTCCACTTCGATGATTCACTGTACTCATTCTCTTTTTATACTTTAGTACCTTATACTCGATCAAACTGGGTAAAAAAAGTCAATGTGGTCTAATTAATTTACAACAATAGTTCCAAATCACTCTACTAACTTTCATTTTCGAATAGAATGTATTGGATGCACCATGGTGCTGACACCCCGTTAATTAAAGCCTTGTTTGGTAACACCATTTTTTATTAGTATTAGCGTTTTAAATAAAATTTTAATAATATACTCCCTCCATCCACAAATAAACTTCCAGTTTGATTGAAGTTATTTTCAAATCATTTTATATGAAAATGGTGCAAAATTTTAAAATAAAAATTACATATTAAAAAACTATATCAAAAGATCTACAAAACTAGAGGTGGCATGACTATATTACTTTATTAAATGGGTGATGAAAATAGATCAACAAAGTGAATAAAGTTTGACCATGTGAATAGTGAACGAAAAGTTTATTTGTGGACGGAGGGAATACATTAATTCTGAAGAGGCCACTATCAAATAATCTTTTCAAAATACAAATTAATATGTCAGCTAGTAAGCGTGAGCATTTCAAGAGGGAGTAGAGCATGATAACACAAAGGGCGTTTCTAATATTTGTTTTTTTTCCTTTTCGAGACATTATTTCAAATTAATTTATATGCCTGGCCAAAAAAATAAATTAATTAATTTATATGCTTCATTGTAGGTTGGGAATTTTGAATGTGTCGGTCCACGACATACGTGTCCAAGTCGGGATCACGAGTTATAAATTGTTTTTTTTATATTTCCCCATTTGAAAAAATAATTAAGTAATTTCCAAGCGGATATCCACAGTTGGGATTTGGTGCTGACAAGTCGTTTGGGAGGCAAGACCCAAACATGACTCAATAATTCATGTCTATCCAAACTCAATCTATTCCACTTTCACCCCCCCATCTCTTTCCGTACTCCTCCATCCATCGCTTATAAATGACTTGCTATTCTATACATCAAAATTGACAAATGTACTATGTACCTCTTTGTATTTCTTACACCAACTTTCACAAATATTTTCGTTACCTGATCTGATTGATCTGAATGTATTTATATTTAAAGTTATTTTTTATGTGATCTGATCTAATTTCAATCAGAATAAATAATAAGTTGACGGGAACATGTCAAGCTTGTTAATCTTAAGATCGAATATCGGCAATGACGCAGTGAGAGTTCTATCATTGGTAATAATTCATTTGCATACCGAGTACAGAGTGGCTTTCTTAAGGTCCAAATTGAGATTATATCATGATTTACCCTTTTACAATCTTGTTGAGCCGGGTGTGGGGGCGCCTAGGATGGACGTTCCTCCTTTTTTACACCAACTTTCGTAAATAGTGTTAGTCTTCTCCTCGTCTCTCATTAGATCTGATTCGATTCTTTTGTTAGATTTGATTTGATTTTATTAAAGTCTGATTAAATATACTCAAACATGTTTCAGATCTAAGCTAACCTAATTCAAATAAAAATAAATAAATATTACTCCGGGGCTTGAGTAGTATTTGATGGGGCGAGCAAATTCGTATCAATATTTTTCGTATCAATATTTTTCTTTGGGCTTGAGTCATGTTGGTCCAATCCATATGATTATTTTATATTGATGGGGCGAGCAATTATAATTTACGTGTGTTTCCCGAACCATGGTAGTCTTAAATCTTAGAGAGTCAGAGAATAGCCTCGTTTGCATCAGCATTAGAAATTATCGTTAGTATACTGAAAAAATTTATTTAACGGTAGCA